AGATGGGGATTCTTCTCCGTATTCCCACTGCAAATTGCAGTCAGCAACCACAAAAGAAAATTTTTCCTGATTTGGCAAGTCACTGTCCATTAATGGTATGATTTTTACAGTCTTTATTACATACACTTGTATGACCACCTACTGGATCTGCTACTTTAAAAGGAGTATTTCACTTTATTGAATAGTTACAAACAAAAGTCTAAGTGGGAGAATGCAGGAGCACACACCAGGGTGACAGCAGTTGAGATGGAGAGAGTTAGTGGGAGATATATTTTACAGATAGAATCAATACAATTCACTGAAGGATTAAATGATTTCTGATTTGAATGAGTGGTTTGTAATGCCATCTCCTGAAATGGAGAAGAGAGAGTTGGGTTGGGGAAGGTAGAAATTAAAAAAAAAAAAAAAATCAGTTTGGATTATGTCAAGTTTGAATTGTCTATTGTCTATATGATATAAATAGTTTGGAGCTGAGAAAAAATGTGAGGGCTACATATGAGACTTCAGGAACTCTCTCTATATAGATGGTCTATAAAGCCAGGGGAATGGATGAGATCACCCCAGAAGAGAGTTTAGAGAGAGGACAGAGAAAAAGCGAGGAAAGGATGGCGGGAAGGAGAAAGGGAAAGGAAAGGAAAGTAGCTGTGAGTAGAACATGGTGCTCTTTACATCAGGTGAGAATCCTTATTCATATTATCCAGTCTTTTTGACCATTCAGAACCCAGAAATAATTATTTAAGTAGATGAGCTAAATTAATCAATTGATCAGGCTGACTATAATATCAATTTCAACTCTGTCCTTCAACATACATTATAACAATTGGGTAATTCATTAATGGAAATAAATATTTACATGTATGTTTTATACATATACAGTGTTACACGTATGAGTAGCTTCAAGGTATTCTGGCATGTATTAATGGTCCATTAAAGCACTTGTCAGGAGAATGAAGTCATTTGGTCTTCAATGTTTCATGCCTTACAGTTCACTTGAGGCTTAGATTAATTGCATTTTTATGTGCCATTTTTGCTTCTCATTTTTCTGCAATTCATTTAATCAAGCTGGTTTTTCATGAAGAAAAACTAAGTTGAAAAGTACAAAACCACAAAGTAAGTTTAAAATTTAACTAAATGGACTAAGATTGAAAATATTATCTTTGGCAAACTTTTCAATGACTTTGTACATCAGAAAAAAGAATGCACACTGAGTCCTTGCTCTTACAGGGAGAGACTTATGTTCTCACATAAAAAACTTTGAAAGGAGGAATAGAAAGCATGATGATCTAAATTTGGCTACCGTATAGCAACTTGGCCTTTTTCCACAATGTTGATACACTAGGATGGGGAAGTTGTCAGGATTCTAGAAATCATCTTCAATAATTATCCCTCTCTTCTCCCTCTTATGCAATAGAAATTAAACCCTATAAAATCTTTCCACATATCTTTTGTACCTGTTTAGTCCTCTCCACCTGCACTGGACCCTCCCTAGTTCAGACAACTTCACATCAATTCCCTGGAATGAACTCTCTTCCTTACTTCGGCAACTGCTCTGGTCCTGACCCCTTCAATTCATCCTTCCATAACTGAAAGTGGAGCTTCTCGCTGCTCCAAAGCCAATAAAGAGACCTGGTTGATGGAAAGGAAAGTTTGTTTTATTTTGGATGCCGGCAACCGGCATGGTGGTGGGGATGGGGGACTCCCGTCCAAAGGCCGATTCCCCGCCAACCCCTGACAATCAGAGGGAGGGGCTACATGCAGAAACAGCACACTCAGCTCTGACAGCCATCTTGAAATTGGTCATGCAGTGGTCAGACCAGCGTCATCTTGATTGCTTTAGGTACAGTTAGTCTTCAGTTTGAGGGTCTGTTTGTTCTCATTTCTTTGAGGCCAATTCTTGGAATTGTGGCAGCTTATGTCATGGCTACCGTCTGGTCATCATGTAGTTAACTTCTTCCACCTGGTGTGGGTTTCAGTATCTGTAAGACAGCTCGCAGGATACGGCTCAAAAATTGTCTACAGCCCCTGAGGAGGAACTAGAGGTCCTTGACTATGTTTAATGACTAAACTATTATTATTTGGTCTCTTTTGACTGTTTTCCTTTGCTTCTGCATTTTCTCACTTCTCTGATTAAATTTATTCTTTGGCTAAAGTTTTTCCACCGACAAAAAGCAGGCAGGACACAGGGGGTGGGGGGAGGGCCATAGGGTTCTGCTCCATTTCACTTCCCTCAGCTGCCAAGACTTTTCTACCAGTTCTCCCACTTCCACTGCTACCCTAGTCCAAGCCACCTGTATATCATGCATGTGTTACTGCCACAACATCCTCCTAACAAGTCTCCTTCTGCAATTTCTGCACAAGATTGATCATATCATCCTATGCTTAAAAACCTGCAGTGGCATCTTATTTCAATCATAATAAAATCTAGACTCCTTACCATGGCCTTTATGATCTGGCCTCTGCCTACATCTGTTACCTCATCTCCTTCAACTTTTCTTTGATTCAAAATCACAACCACGTGGCTTTTTCTCTAAGCTACAAACTGCCAATTCCTTGCCATCTCAGAGCATTTGCTTTATATGCTCTTCACATAGTCTTTCAAGTGGCTTCTTCTCATCAACCAGGTCTCAATTCAAATGACCTTGTTAAGAGGACTTCACTGAACACTCCAATTTTCTCCCCTTTGCACTCTCCATCTTAATAGTATATGATCACTTCTTGATAGATTTTGGTTAATTCATGAAATTGTCTTGGATAAATTGTGAACTCTGGACTCAGCCTACCAGGTTGTGAACACTGGCTTTTCCACCAACTAGCTTCCACCTGGGCAAGTTATTTAATCTCTACTTCTTTTTCTGTAAAATGGGATAATAATACTTCATAAGGTTGTTGTGAAAGTTAAATGACTTAAACCTTAAGTTCATGGAACAGTACCTGGCTAGTCATTGTTATTTATTGTAGATATAGTAGAATTTGACGCTAAAATATAGCTCTTGAAATGCAGGTCTATTTAGTTCATCCACTTCTGTAATTATGACATCAGAATACAGTCTGGTATTCAATAGATCCTCAAAAAATGCATGACTCATTATTACCTGGCTGGTGACCTGGCAAAAGATACCTCTGATTAAAGAAATTCAAATTCCAAATGTTTTAAAATAATGTGGAAAAATTTACTTTACCATTCTGCCGTTGGCTCTGGTTGAAAGTTCCAAAATGCCACATAATCTACCCTTGAACAGTAGCTTTCAGTTACTGAGATCTGGATACATGGGGAGTCTCACGTTCTATAAAGGAAACTCAGCAAGAAGCAGATCGCAGGGGAACTTGACCTCCAGCCATGATGTTGATATTAAGGACAAAACCACCAGATCCAGATAGGTATTGGGAGTATTAGCCAGGGTACCTGGCTCAGAACTAGGGAGAAACCTCCTGGAAGTAAACTTCAGATGTAAAGGGAACCAATTCAGGCAGTTTCCTGGGATGGAAATTAATGTGATGCTAAATTATTTGTGGTACCAATTCCAACATGTTGCAGGGGGGTGGTTCCCATGCAGCACCAAGCAATTCTTGGGACACCAGGTGGGTGTCCTACAATTCAACTCAATCTGACAGTATCTACCTAGAGATAGCGTCAGATTCCATAGGTTAAGAGCTCAGTCCCAACAGAATGTCTCCCCCACCCCCATCAGATACCAGTAGCTAGACAGGTTGTTACCTGTACTTCTGACCCATGGGCTATAAATCAGAGGTTACCACGATCTCCTCCTTGGATTCAATTTATTTGCAAGAGTGGCTCCCAGAGCTCAGAGAAAACAATTTACTTACTAGACTATTAGTTGACTTTGAAAGGATATAACTCAGGAACAGCCAGATGGAAGAGATTCATAGGGCAAGGTATGGTGAAAGGGTGCAGAGTTTCCATGCCCTCTCCACAAGGGTGCCACTCTCCCAGCACCTCCACATGTTTACCAATCCTGAAGCTCTCCAAACACCATCCTTTTGGGGTTTTATGAAAGCTTCATTATATAGTCATGATTGATTAAATCATTGGCCATTGGCAACTGATTCAACATCTAGACCCTCTTCCCTCCTCAGAAGTTAGGATAGGAATGACAGTTCCAACCCTCTAATCACATTATTGGCTCCATTGGCAGCCAGCCCCCATCCTTAGGTGACGTCCCAAAATTACCTCATTAACATATCGAAACACCTTTGTCACTCTCAACACTTAGAAAATTCCAAGGGTTTTGGGAGGTATGAGTGAGGAACCATGAGCAAAGACCAAATATATATATGAGAAATGTATTTTGGTCAACTGAATGACCAGATATATATTTTTCTTATAAATCACAATATCATATGTGCCTTTCAGTGGTCAAGATTGGGTCAAAAATGAGAGAGAACATGCCCTATAAATGAGGAGTGCTCCTAGATCACATTAGTATATCCATTTGGGGCTGTGATGGAGAAGTAAGAAGTAGGGAAAAATATCAGAGGTGGATCATGGGTAGTCTTCCTAAACGTTGTTTATATAAACTGAATGGTTCATATTTGGATAAAATTGATAACACTCATTTTCAGATTGTTGCTAAGATCATCATGCTAAGATCATGTACCATATATTGATTTTTACTGCATATTATTAGGAAATCTTGTCTAGGGTGAATTACTCCCATAGACTAAAAAGCAGAAGGAGTGTTAAGGCCTCTTTATTGTTTGCCTCAAATAAATGACTCTAAATCATTGTTTAAGGGTATATTAGTCACAGAAGGAAACTGAATCCACCATTTACTATATCAAATTTTCTCTACACCATTCACTGTGTTTATACACTTTAACAAGTATTACAAGATACTGTGTTTGGCTTTTGGCAGGTTTTTGTTTGTTTGTGTGTGTTTTTTTTTTTTTTTTTGGCTGTAGCATCTGTTCAGAGTGTCAGAGTACAAATTTAGAAGCTTATATATATAGCCAGCAGGTCATCTTTTCATGAGCTGTTGTTAAAAATTTCTCAGATAAAGCTACATTTGTTGGAGGATCTTTCGACTAAAATAATATAAAGGTATGTGTCTGATCCTTCTAAAAAATTTGGCATTTAAACAAGATATAAAGCTGGGTTATGTAAGGACTTTAATACCTATAGTCATATTACATAAAGCTTTGCATGTTCTGAAAACTTACTGTATTTTCCAGTAAAATTACTCTCTATGCTTTATAATAACATATTTTCATGGACTAAGAAAGTTCTGCTCTTAAACTTTAAATTCTTTAAATTATAAGTTGTTAAAAGATTTAACACTCTCCTAGTCCTGATTTTAGTTTATATAATCATAGTTACTTTTATACACATTACTAATGAAAAATCTTGACTTCTTATTTCAGATGTATGAATCTAATTTTAGAAAAGCTTTCTGTATTTTTACTGAGCTGAAAAAAATGTGATATATTTGACAACTGTTACTTGCATATTCCTGATTAATGAGGCCCTTAGAGCTAAGGCTGTTTATGCAGTTTCATTTGAAATTTATTGTAAGTAGTATTCCATAGATTTATTATAATTATATGGATTACTGTTAGTGATTTTTAAATTCATTCTTTTGAAATAGAAAGCTTTTCAAAGAAAAAATAAAGGTTAAAATGTTGAGTTGAAAACCATACCTGTCAGGTTGAAAAGATTCTTTATTCCATTCTCTAATTTTCATCCAAAGAGACACTATTACCCACTTTGCTATTGTTTTCTTTCCCCACCTTTTCCTCCTGTCAAGTCTTTCTTTTTCCCTCTGCTATTCTAAGCCGTTAGGTCTATATCAAGATCATGCACTCCTCTTTATTCCCAGAAGTGAATAAAAACTATGTAGATGGTGTATGGAAAGATAGACTCTGTTCCTGTAGCAGAATTGAGCCTTTTCCCCTCTGACTTAGCATAAGCCTAAGTGCAGCAGGCAGGGCAAGAGAAAAGGAATTTTAGGAATTATAAAGTAGAACTAGGAGATTAGTTTTTAGAGTTTTGTCTATGTCTTGGGGAGAAGAGAGGCTGTTAGCACACTTTAAAGCTCTATGAGAAAATCAAACAAATATTATTATTATTATTATTAGCTGTTTGTTTTCTGGCCTTGCAACAAGATATATATATATATATATATATATATAAAATAGATACACACACATATATATGTATATATATGTATATCTATCTTTCTCTATATATATTCTTATAGTGGGGAACTAACATTGTTTAAGGGAAAACTTTCTAGATGTGTACCAACTTTTAAACTTTTTCTCTTAAACTGCTGAGAATAAAGTATTAGGTGAAGAATGTTTTTTTTCAGATCAGTTAAAGTCAATTTAGTCAAAGTCACAGTCCTAGTGAGTGAAAACTTCAGAAAAGTGAATTGAAGATATAGGTTTTGTAAATAACTTTCTAAGCATACATTTCCACACACTTCCCCCATTCAAAGACTACCTTGCTCTGTAATAGGAATCCTGCCATAATCACAGCATCTATTAATCCTCATAAATACCTCAAAGGAACCTTTATTGACTCCTAAACTTCTGCATTTTTCACTCTTATTTTTCAGGATGTCAAACTTGGGACAATTTGACTCCGACTTTTACCAATCTAATTATAACATTGACAATCAGGAGCAGAGTTATAATGATTCTAATGCCTATGGAAATCTTTATGGATCTAGAAAGTAAGTACTTGACATTGAGAAAATATGTTCTCATTTTAAGAAGTCATAATATTTTGACAGGGAGTTTCAGGTAGGGAGGTTCCCTTGAGGGAAGCAAAATCTCTCCCCGCTGTATCTCAGTAAAATGCCCAAGAAGAAATGTTAGGAAAGGGCAGAGAAATGAATTCAGTTTTCCATGAATGGCCTTGATTGCCTCAGGCTTGTTCGTAGGTGAAAGACTTGTCTCCTCTTTTCAAAACATCACTTAACCGGGAGCATGAATACAGGCCCTGGACAAACAGAAAACATTTTCCTTTTACCTGATATTTTCCAGGATACTGCTCAAGAAACCGACTTTATTCAACTTAATAAATATTTACTGAGTGCCTGCTTGTGTGTCGGAAATTAAGAAAGGCACTATAAACCCAAAGATGAAGAAATCTATAATCTTTTCCCTCACAAAATTAAAAAATTTATGTTGGAGAGGGGGACAATTAAATATGCTATTATAATACAGTGTGGCAATTCCTAACTGAAATCGAGATAAATGTAATTCAGCATGTATTAGTTATTTGAGTTGACAATTCAACTTGAGTTGAAAATAAATTAAAAATGATTAAGAATTTAGTATTTACCCTCTACTAGTGCCCCAAATAGGGCAGTTAGAATGAGAAGAATTTGGTTCAGTCTGGCTCTGGCATTTGTTTTTTGTCACATTGGGAAAGACAACTTCCCCAACTGAGTGTGTTAAACTGAGAAATAAAGATGTTAATAATACCTACTTCGTGAGAATTGTCTGAAAAACAATTGTGATAATGTGCAGGAAAGTGTGTGTTAAAGTAAAACCATTATAATATACATGTTATTTTTTCATATAACTATAGTTTGCAGAAGCAATGGACACCATTACCAAGTCACTTAAACATGCATTTGGTTACACAGTTGCTACTTTAGATGTTCTTTTACATTAGTGAACTGTGAGAAGGGACAGAGAAATTAAGGAATTTTTCCAAGGTCACACAGCTAGTAAAACATTTTAGGCTACTAGTCCAAGGTTGTTGGATTAGACTAAGGGGCATATAATTTATTGTAAAATCAAGACATTTTTGAGAGTAAAATGTGTGCCATTAATAACAATGTTGGTACAATAAACTGGATCATCTTAGGCAAACTGGGATGTGTGGTTACTGTGCCATTCCAACAAGTTTAGGGCAAATAACCACATAAGAAATACTTCAAATTTATTAATTCTTGAAGTTTATTTTTAGAACACAGGTAAGTACCTTGAAAACTCCAGAATAAGGAGGAAAAAACAGAATAAATACAACAGGCAGTGGGGACTCTTCCATTCCAACTACACCCAAGACAATTTGGACGTTGTTTTTATGGGCTGATGACTCCTACAGACACAGGCAGATAGGTGCCGTTTTCACAAGCTGCATCCTAACTACTCGTGCTGGACCACTGTTCTAAAGCGATAGGGAAAGGAATTGGTAACCAATGTTTTTAAAACTGTAGAAATTAAATATCTGGAATTTTATCTCATTCATGCCCCTAGTCTATGTTGTCTAGCATTAGTCAAATTGCCATAAGAACTTCTTAAAATGAAAAGCAATCCATACCTCTATCTACCTATCTATCTGAATACTATCACCAGGCAAATTAAATGTGTTTATATTTATAAAATATTTATAAGAAAAATGGGGGAAAAGGATAAAGCTGTGTAGAATTGGCTGAATCATTGCTGAATCCAACAACAGAAAAAGAACTTAATTTTATTTCATTTATGATTTACAGTTTGGAAGGTCGAGAAAAAACAGAAAAGTGTATGATGGCCCAGGGAGTAGTTTGAGCATGAAGGTATTACAGGATGGTAACTCAAAATATATAATCCACATGAAAGCTATCTAATAAGATTTTTCAGCTCTGTGCTCCTGTTTTATTGAAGGGATCCAGTGGCCTGCTGTTTCTTTTCTCCCTTCTCTTCTCCAGATGGAATAAGCACCTGGGCAGCATCTGCAATCCACATTTTCAGACTAAACGAAACTGAAAAGTCCAGTAAAAGAGAGACAAAGCTGTCTCCTTAAGCAGGGACTCAAACCACAGCCTTCTCCCCCCACCCCAGCCCACCCAATTTTCTTTCTCCATTTGATTGCACATATCAATGTTGACCAGAAATCGAGATGACAAGGAGATGGAAATTAATATAACCAAGTGAGGGCAAGTTATGATTATACTGCATCAGGTTGATGGCCTGGCCTACTTCGGATGCTTAACATTTAAATCCAAGTCCTGATTTGGATGTGGTAACATTTAAATTCCAACCCACACTGCAAGTCTCAGGAATTAGAAAAGGGCATATTAGCTGTGGTACTTTTATGAGGTACATAAAACATGGAGTCAGGTCAGTGATTTACAAGTGTGCATCAAATAACTCCAGAAACTTGATCTTTTATTCATACAGTGAATAGTTCAATTAAAATGTACCCCAAATCAGAATAAGGTGCTCATCATACTGGCAAAAGACATAGGAATCCAGTAGCTAGTTATAATCAATTAGTGTCTCTCTCCCTGTCCCCTGCCCCATTCCCTGCTCCTCGGTATGAGAGCTCATTTTAAAACACTTGTTATGCTCAATGAATGGCATAGTGATCTGAAAGCTGGTTGAATGTGCTTATTATGAATGAAGATATTTATATTTTTAAACAAGTTTTCTTATTTTAGGATGAACAAGATGAAGTTTTCTCATTAAAAAAACAACTTAAATATCCAGTCATTCAGATAGGCATTATTTCCAATGACTGCAGTCAGTTTTCTAGGCTGTATTTTCCCACTGCAGTTTCCCAACTTTTGAAATGGGAAGTCTATTCCAATTATTTAGAGTAAGAAATATCTGTTTCTGCAGAAAGGTGACTACAACTGAAAAACTCCCTTTGAATGTTTCAGCAGTACTTTAACAGATAGATACTGAATCATCAGCTTTTCTGAATCTCTAGACCTGCTATTCCTTTAGTGTTTCAAGCATAGTTAATGGCACTGTCAATGCCACATCATTATGTGTACCCGCTGGCTGAGCCAGGATCTGGGAATGTCATACAAGCCCATTCCCCCAGGGATCAGACTGACAAAGGAAAGGAACATCAATTGACCCTCATGATGGAAGTCCATATAGTTTTGGAAAAACAAAGCCTCTAATAAAATATGTACCTATTGATTATGTGATGTGACAGAAAACTGACTCTGTGCAACAGACATAATTCTGAAACCACAGAAAGTATAACTGAGTCTTCTAACAGTGATCTTCTGTATTTACATTGGAAGGTGAATGTTAAGTCCTGTTGTCTCAGAAACAGTTAAATATTTTTCCCAAGCTGGAGGCCATGCCATATCTTAACAAAATATCATCTAAGTAAAGACAAGCCTCTTCAGGCTGGTTGGAACTGTATAACCCCATGTATAGGTGGTGAAAAGGGGAATATTGAAAAATTAGTGAGCATTCAGAGGGTTTGTATATGGACCAGGTGTGGCCATTGCTTCATGGCTTAGAGACAGAAAGCCAAGCCAGGCATGGGTGTAGTGGAGATTCTCCTGGTAGGAAAACAAAGGGTGGGTGGGATGTTGTCGAAGTCAGTCTGGGTGTTCCAGGGAAACCAAAATGGGAAAAAGCTAGAGATGATCAGCACAGAAGGAATACAAACTCTTGGCTTCGTATTAATGTTGTTTTCTCTGAGGAAGTGGCAGACTGGGAGACAACTATTTGCAAATAGAGAAGATGCTGTTTCAGGGTGTGAGGAAGGTGTCTAGAATGCTTCAGTGTCAGTCTCAGGAAGAGAAGAGCATACAGATACTTAGCTAATGCTTATCGATCACTTTTTGTGTGCCCCATGCTAACCTAAGTGCTTTATTTATTTCAGCTAATTTAATTCATCATAACCTTATGAGTTCTATTATTGTCTTCGTATTACAGATGAGAAAACTGAGGCACAGAATGTGAAATGATTTGCCTAAGATTATAAAATTGGGATTTGAACCCAGGCAGTCAGACTCCAGGAGTCCTGTTTGCTAAGCACTCTACTTGGTTCAGGATACATCCTACGATGGAACTAGCATTACAGGCAGCAATATAATACATAGAGTTGGAAAGCAAAAGAAGGGAAAAATGACCAAGAATGTTGCCAGTCGTTCTAAAGGAGGCTTTTGCACTCACTTCACAGTTGTTTGAAATGATTTTTACAGGAATAGGAGATGCCTGTTAACAAAGGTAATATTTAAATCCTAGCAGCCAGAGTCCAGTGTTTATTCTGGTCTAATTCAGTTGAAATTTGGAATAATGTGTTGAGTTAGAAATCATCAAAATTTCAGTATTTACCTTCTCAAAGAGCTAATTAAGATGCTCTGTAATCAAGGAAATCAAGGACCACTTCTTATGTTCCTTTCCCTTCCCTTCCCTTCCCTTTCCTTTCCTTTCAGTGAAAACAATTTGAAATGACCAAATAACCTCATGGATGAGCCCTTTTTTCTTCCTTCCTTTCTCTTCCTGCAAGAAGTTATTTACTAAGATTGTTTTCCAACTTTCTCACACAAATGGTGAAATAAAAACCAAATAAAAGCACAATCAAGGAAATATTGTAATATGGTGTTTCAACAAAACTAAACTGCACATTTCAAAAGATGGACAGTGAAGCCAGCTATGGAAGACTTTTAAGTCAGGTTCTCAAAGATAATTTGATTGTCAATAACTGTCTGGGAATAGCCAGAGCTAAAAAGTCTACTCCTTGATGGACAACAGTCAGTTTATGTGTTTATTTTTTTCCTATGAATTGACTACTATTAAAATTTTGATTTTAAAAAAATTTTATTGAAATATAGTTGATTTACAATGTTGTGTTAGTTTCAGGTGTACAGCAAAGTGATTCAGTTATACATACATATATATATATATATATATATATATATATATTCTTCTTTTGCATTCTCTTCCATTATAGGTTACTACAAGATATTGAGTATAGTTCCCTGTGCTATACAGTAGGTTCTTGTTGATTATCTATTTTAAACATCGTAGTGTGTATATGTTAATTCCAAACTCCTAATTTATCCCTCCCCCTCTTTCCCCTTTAGTAACCATAAGTTTGTTTTCTATGTCTGTGGGTCTATTTCTGTTTTATAAATAAGTTCATTTGTATCATTCTTTTTATTTAGATTCTACATATAAGCAATAGCATATGATATTTGTCCTTCTTTGTCTGTCTGACTTCACTTAGTATGACTATGATTTTTTACTTGCTGCCTCCACAGATTTATAGGGAATGTCCTGTTTGGTGACTGTCCCTGAAAATCAGTGAAAAAGCAGCATTGTGTAGGGATCAGGGCACTGCTCAGACAGACAGTTTCAGTTCACAGTCCAGCACCTGAATGTTATTGTGTGTTACCAGGCAAGTCATTCAGTCTCCATGAACCTGTATTTCTTTTTCTGTAAAGTGGGATTAAAACTACGGTTTTTACTTTGCAGAGTTTTAATTACGTGAGAAAATGTGAAGGAGAGTGTCCAGCACATTGTAAATTATCAATACATGTTAGTCAATATGGATCATTCTTCTAGAGAGTTTTCTCACAACTAGTTACTTTTTTTGATTAAATTTAAACGTCAAGCAAGTTAATTCTTTCATGGGTAAATAGTCATAAAAACTAGGAGAAATCATAAAAGGAAAATAGTAGTTTCCTTCCTTGGTAGCCCTTTCTTAGATGTGAAAATATCAGTATTTTCCTTTTTCTAGACAACAAGCCAGTGAGCAGCCTCAGCCTGCCTTCGTCCCACCAGAGATGCTCGTGTCATCAAGTTATGCGGGACAATTCTTTCAGCCAGCATCCAACCAGGATTATTATTCACCATCTTCTTACATTGACAGTTTTGATGAAGAGCCTCCTTTACTAGAAGATAAGTTAAGGAAGTGCTATTAATGTGTGTACAGCTCAAAGAACAATAGCAATAATCAGCTCTTAATGTGCGCTGTCAGCATGCCGCACACAGTGTTTTATGTGATTATTCCACATATAAACAAGAGTCTGCCAGACCAACACACTTAAACCTTTGGGAGTTTGTCTCCTGTATGTGTGGGGACAATTGGAAGTAGATACGAGCTATTGCTGTGATAGTCTTGCAGTTTTTAAATGTTTCTTCACTGTTTTTCGAATGTGGACTCCCTGACCATATCCAGACAACAGTGAAGACATCTTTTGGCAGAGTGATTATATCAAAATAACCACCAGCATATCTTACTATTTTCTGCTATGTTTGCCTGGGAGCAAAGTGGGTAGTTTCTCCGTATTCTTTTTTTGTTGTCATGGAGAAAAGACAGGTTTTTTTCCCTTCCTGGCTCATGTGAGCCCGCACATCTCAGATAGATAAGACTAAGTGGGAAGGAATATGATTCCAGTAAATAACACTGTTGGTGGCAAGGAAACCTGGGGACCCTTGCAGTTAAAGGTGGCCTCCAAAGATTTCAGGAATCTTCCATCCATTGATTTTTTTTTTAATCCAGCCAATTTATATCTGCCGCTTTTGCTCTTAAGGAATGTCAACATGATGCTAGAAAACTAAAGTTCAAGGAGATTTAAATTTGGAAGCCAAGGAGAAATATTCACAGGCTAACTGCTCTAACTCTTTTGTATGTAGTCCAGTGAAAAGGGATAGGCTAAAATTCCCAATATTTTACATCAAAAGATTATTGTTTGCTTCTTATGAACACAGCCAGCCACATTCTTCTCTCTTTGCCTTCAAATTAAGAAAAAAGGAAAGATTTAAACCATTCAGAAAAGCACAGAGATTTATTTAATCTATTTGTTGGCTCTTTAGAAGCCAGTTAAGTTTTTGGATCAGTTACGCTTAGCCAATTCATTCTAATTTGCCTCTGCATCTGATATCTAACAACTGAAAGTTATAAGCTATTCTCATCAAGAATTTTCCTTGACTCCACCAACATCTCTACGTAAAAAAACCTATCAATTGACTAATTATAAAAGTAATCTATATTCAAAATAGAAATTTGGAAAATATAGAAACATATGAATAAAAATATTAAAAAATCACCAAAAATTTTGTCTCTGAGACATGATATCATTAATAATTTGATGTAATTTCTTCCATCCTTTATTCTGTTTTTCTACGAATATATAAATATACATTAAAAAATGAAATACTATATTTCTTTGACTATGAATATATTAGCAAATACTTAAAAATAAAAGTTGGATCATACTATGGGCATAAAGTTTTGTATTTTTTAAAGTTACTTTATATCATAAGCATTTCTATACATGCATTCTTTAAAGTCATTAAATGTTATTTGAAAATATGACATGTAATGGCTTCATAATATTTTACTATATACAAGTACTATAATTTAAATCTACCATAGAGGTTATTTTTATAATCAATAATGCTTTGGTGAATATCATAGTAAAAACTTTGACCTGTACAGAATCTGTCCTTAGGATGGAACTATAGCATTGGGATTACTGGGTCAAAAGTCATTTATACTGTCAGGCTCATCTAGAAAAATAATGAGCCAACAGACCTCCATAGTAGAATATGAAATGTCTTTGTTAATTTGATAGGCAAAAAGGCAAAAAATAATACTTTTTATTTCTTGGTTACTAGAAAAGTTAGACATTTTTTTCATATGTTTATTGACTGTTTTATATGTTTTTCTGTATGTTTATTGTTTTACATGTTTTTACTTCTTCCTGTTTTTCAAGTTCTTTGCCAGATTTCCTATTGGAATCTTAAGATTTTTCCTTTCCTTTTTTATTTATAGAGATATTTATATGGTAAAGATATTAATTATTGTATGGAATATGTATTTCAAGCTTTTTTTTCCTAGGTTGTGTTTGCCATCTGATTTGTTTGTGGGGTATTAGGGCATATAGTCATTTTATTAATCATGTTTATGTTTTAAACTCCACAATATTTTTCTTGGTAACTTTTCTTTCCAATTGCTCTTTTGTTTAGAATATATTTCTCCAGCTCTAGATACTGCTTATATCCTCTTGTAGATTCTTAAATTTTTAAATTATCTTTTTGTTTTTCACTTAAATTTTTGATTCATTGAAAATTGTTTTAGGTTAGTACATGAAGTAGAATTTAACTTTGTTTTTTCATTAATGATTAATCAATTTTTCCTGTAACATTTACTGAAAATAATCTTTTCTACTTGCCTCAGATGCCTCCATTCTAATATTCTAAACTCAAATACATTCTCCCATGATGTCTTCTTAAATTTCAAATAGGAAATATACTAGATTTCCCCTCCTACTACATCTCAGAGAAATTCCTAGATTGTTTTGTTTTCTCTTTGTGATTATCCCCACCAAATATATAGAATATTAGAAGAGAGAGTATCTGATATAATTTTGCATTTTGAGTCTATGAAATTTCTAGACTCTGATCCAATATGTTCTTCAGGCTGGGTGACTTTGTGAAAGCCTCAACCCTCATCATTCTAAAAGATATAAAAAGACCATAGGCAGGATTTCTAGGATAAGATGATAAAAGACATTTGCTAGTTTTTATTGAGCATACACCAAAACAACCTATAAAATTATGAAGTTATAATAATTAACATCCCTTGCACAAAAACATGCTATTTGAAAGTGCACTCATTTATTCCTTAAATACTTAGTTGTCTAAAAGACTTGTTTCGTTTTATGTAAGAATAATAACCTTTGCTATTTGATCATGTATAATCAATGTTAACAAATGCATCTTGAAGAATAATAGTCAATTCAAATCTGTCAGACTAGAAAAATTACTGTGATATTTACATTTGTAGCATAGCCTGATGTTTATATTTGAAAGGCCAATGCCACAATTTGCATAGTAAACAAAGATATTAATTCATTTTTATAACATATATATTGTATACTTTACTACCACTAGATGACAGCAAAACAATAAAGTTTGCATTCAAATTTCACAGCAGTTTCATCTTTTTTTATCTTGTAAAATAAGTTGTTATATTAGGGTATCTACAATTGATAAATGGGTATCTCATTTGCATACCTTATAATAAATTTGAAAACAAAATATTATGGAGATGTATTTTGGTAAAAAACACATAAAATATTTTTTCTTATGAAAATATTGAGTAGGTCTTATGTTCATTCATTGTTTCATGACTCCATGTTGAAACGTGCAAAAGTTAATTATGCCATCAAATAAATGGCTGATATCAGTAATAATGTCTCATAAAGCATTTTCATCTGGGTTTCTTCAGGAATAATGTTTATGCTTTTTGAGGAGAAATGTATTTTGAATTAAAGGCCACTTTATTGTGGTAAATACTGAAAACATATTGTTAACGTAAATATATAAATGGAAAATAAAGTTTGGAGACAACATAAGCCTCAGGTGAAATTAATTTAAACTATAGTATTTCTCAATTTTTAAAATCTTCTGCTATTTTAAAAATCACATTGGACAGTCTAACCTATTTTATGTTGGTGAATTACTCATATTCTCCAAAGTGTATGTTCATTAAGAAATATATAAATACACTGTGAAAATAAAAAGGGAAGTTGAAATGTAAATGATTTTCTCACTATTAATTTAATTCAAATGAAATTCAAATTCTTTCTTTTCAAGCTTGGGTTGGCTAGCAATTGTCAACCTGGATGTGAAAAGAGTGAAAGATACACTTTCTATCCTAGTTCAGGCAATGTCTGGCTGACTTTCTAAAAATGTCTAGGCCCCTGTTAGACCAAGGTCCCTCTATGTCATGGCGATCATTGAAAGTTCATCTAGTATTCTTTGTGTAGAATGTCAGCTTTGCAAGGTGTTTAGGTGGTATACACAACTATAAAAGATGTTGAATTATACCCTGTCTCTGACCAAAGAGCGTAACTAAATCCTGGGAAGGGAAGTTGAATGGCAGGTACCAATGATTTAGGGAGACAATCCTTCACATGGGAGAACTGGGCTCACTTCAATAAAATACAAACCTTATGAGATTAGATGTACATTGACTCAACCACAGCTATATGATTAAAAGCATGGGTTCTTTTTTTCTTTTGTACCCTCTTGTTTTGTACCCTATCCCTAGCCCCTGGCAACCACTTTTCTACTCCAACTCTATGAGTTTGACTTAAATTATTTTAGACTCCACATAAAAGTGATACCATGCAGTATTTGACTTTCTCTGTCTGGCTTATTTCACTTAGAAAAATGCTCTCAAGGGCCATTCATGTTGTCACAAATGACAGGATTTCCTTGTTTTTTTATGACTGAATAGTATTCCAATGTATATATATATATATATAATATATATATATATATATATATATATATATATATATATACCACAACTTTTTTACACATTTGTCCATCAGTGTACACTTTGGTGGTTTCCATGTCTTGGCAGTTGCTGCTTTCAACACGGGGGTGCAGATATCTCTTTGATATCCTGATTTTGTTTCCTTCAGATATATTCCCAGAAGTGGCATGGCTGGATCATACAGTAGTTTTTTTTTTTTTTTTGCGGGATGTGGGCCTCTCACTGTTGTGGCCTCTCCCGCTGTGGAGCACAGGCTCCGGACACGCAGGCTCAGCAGCCATGGCTCACAGGCCCAGCCGATCCATGGCATGTGGGATCTTCCCGGACCGGTGCACGAACCTGTGGCCCCAACATCGGCAAGTGGACTCTCAACCACTGCGCCACCAGGAAAGCCCAGTAGTTCTATTTTTTAAAAAAATTTTGAGGAACCCCCATACTGTTCTCTATACTGGCTGCACCAATAAACATTCCCACAAAGAATGCACAAATGTTCCCTTTTCTCCACATCCTTGCCAACACTTATTTCTTGTCTTTTTGATGTGACTTTGGAAAAGTTCATCACTCCAAACCTCCCCCATCTGATGCACAAAGTAGGAATAAAATAACAGTACCAGCCTCAATGCATGCCAGTAAGACCAACACATGTAAATCTTGTAGGGCTTACAGCAAAATTCAGTAAAAATATTCAGTTAAAAAGAATTCCACTCTTTTTAGCTCAAATGTATGTACTTTATAGTAGTTTAGCTCCAGTTTTCCCTAACCTCCACCTCACCCGTATTCAAATTTAAAATGAGAGAAGGAGGGTAACCAGCTTGATTACTGGTTCCTCAGTAGTGACGTTATATTCTCCTTTGTGAATGTCCTTTTTTTTTTCTACTCCAGATGCATCTTAAAGTTTATCTTTATAGGAGTGGTTAGAAAAGTAACTGATGTGATGTTGGCATTTATTTCTATATTCAGTGGATGTCAAATGGCTGGTTTTTTTGTTTTTTGGTTTTTTTTAATGAAAAAGATATAAGAGGAGCAGAATCTAGCAGCGGGGTCTGTAAGGGGCAGTCAGAATTCTTTGAAAAACAAGGCATTGGAGAAATAATTAGAAATTACTAATTGAGTTTAGACTCATGGACACTGAGCCCACTGCTTTGGGATATTTTATTCTACCATCACCACTCATAAAAGGGAAAGGTTAATTGTCTCAAGAATTTAATCTCTGAATACACAGACTCAACAACACAGAGCACTGACCTTATTAAAATATGTATGCACGCCATGATTGCTTTTACTTGCTGAATGAGCCATTGCCTTTTCTCCTCTGTGGAGTTTCAGGCAGTTAGCATGGTATTGCTCTTCTCATCAGGCAGAGTATAAGTAAAATCCCAGACCTAGGCTAAGTGTCTTTAGATTAGATAACACTGCTAATTGAAAATTATGCATGTTTGGTAGGACAAGTTTCAGAAGTGTTAGCAATAGAAAATGCAGGAAAAAGAAATATCTCAATGGGCATTAAGATGGGACTTTTCATTTGTTAGCTACCATTATATTTTGTTTTACTGTATAATGTCCATTTCCTCATTTTTGGCTGCATTTTAAGCTTCTATTTGCTGCAGAAGGCAGGGAAATTTTTCCTTGATAGAATTATTTCTCTAAAATATATCTTTCAGCTCATTGTGTGGGAATAAAAAGTCTTTTTTTTGTTGTTTCAAGGTTGCTATATATTATGTAGAACTTTAAACTATGAAGGTATAACAATCAGATTAAAGTGCTAAGTAAATTAATAATATTTGTTAACTTTAATTAAAAAATATTACTCATGTTTATTTTTCTATATTTATATTATCTCCTCCCCCTTCTTTTTAGAACTCGGAATTAATTTTGATCACATACGGCAAAAAACCTTGACAGTGTTAAACCCACTGAAGCCAGCAGATGGCAGCATTATGAATGAAACAGACCTCACTGGGCCCATCCTGTTCTGTGGGGTCCTAGGAGCTTCCCTACTTCTGGTAATGGACAGCAGCAAGCACTACATATTCCTTTTTTTCCCCTTTTTTTTAGCTAACATTGGTTTATCTAAGTTTCGTGTTTACAGCATTATATTTCTACTTCTGCATACACCACAGCCAAGTACCAGATTTTAATGCATGTCCTTTCAAATGTCATTTTTGAAGAGGTCTTTGTAAATACGGAAGAAAGTATATCACTTTATGAAGTGAAAATTGTTTGATTCATAACTACATTTTTTTTTGGTGAGAGAGACATATTTAATAGAACCATAATGACAAAGAGAAACTGCCATCATGTATTACAACAGATAAAAAATGTAAATTTAAATAGAATTTCAAAAATCAAATCACCAAGACAGATTTTCAACAAAGCAGGAAATCATATAAATGATTTTCTTGTAATTAAGTCTTTTTTGTTGTTTAGAAAAGACTGTCAATCTGAAAAAGTTGGAGGAACACATGGATTTGGGAAACAGAGGGCTGAAATTTTATTTCTTGTTTTCTGTGAGATTTCTGTTGTGACACTGGACAAATCCCCTCTATTTACTCATCATTTTCATTGCTGGGGTGTATCTATCTCTAGACTATTTCAAATATTCTGTTATGTATGAGATGAGTCTCCTTGTTTCTGGTTAGGCTATTATGAATAAATTGACTTGCAACGATAAGCAGTGATTTGTTTATTCAACCTGTATATTTCCCCTATCATTTTAGTTTTCTGTTTTTTATGAAGGCAATTTTTCCCCTGACATCTCCATTTGTCTTGTGTATGGGCCTCTTTCATTCTTTAAATCTGGGAGTAATGATATTCAGAGTCATCAAAAAGGAAAAACATATTCCACCTAGGTTAAGTTTAGAAGGTATTCTAGTTTATAATTTAGAAAAATGATTTCTCCACCCAAAAAAGGGAAGAAAAAGAAGAAATGAGAAAGGTCTATGATTTTGTATTAAGGAGGTAATGACAATACATTAAAAACAAAGGATGAACAAGATGGTCAAGCCAGCCTGACAAGTACAGTTTCATTAGGGCACAAGGAGATAAACTTGGCAAGAGAGGTAATATAGGAAATTAAAGATTCTAAGAAAAGTCCTTAAAATAACTACTCATTTCACTTTCCTTTCTTACATCTATCCACTTCCCTAATGCAGCTATTCTTCTCAAAAATAACTGTAAAATGTATTTGCAACTAAATGAGTCTTCACTTTTCATTATTAATTACATAATACTAATCGAAAATTTGATAGAAATCTAATTTCTGCATTGTAGTGTGGTCAATAATCACATCATATTTATCCAATACAATAGTACTTAGTTATAACATCTTATTTCTTCCTTTGAACTACAGCAAATGCAAATACTCAAATAATCTAACACTATATCAACCAGTTTTAATTTAGTCTCTAACGTCCCTTCTGTCTTTGTCATAGTAATTTGATAATCTTAGATTAAGCTGCTAAGTAAGACCATGTCAATTAATCAAATTGTCAGAAACGATCAATTTAATATATTAACTCATCTTTGTTTTTCAGGTAATTTGTAATATAACAGCTGTTTGGTTTTCTGTAGAAAATATTACTATTACCACCTCTTAAAGGAAGCATTAATCCCATTAAGATCTTTTTTGGGTACATAATGTTAGTTGGAATTACTTAAATGTCCTCTCTTTTGTTTTAAGTGCAAAGTAATACAGGGAAAGAACTCAACTGAAAGTGGAAAAATTGGATCTGCCCCTAACTTTGCCTCCAGGTGTGATCCTGAACCTTTTGTTTTTTTCCTATTTCTTGGCCTTCATTTTTTTCATTTTAAAGATCTGATACACGTAGAACAATAAGGACCGAAAAACTCCACTGGATATTAATAAAGTCAAATTTAACTCAGAGTCCATTTGAGGCTGTTAACCCTGCCCTGGATACCTAAAATTAAAATGTAAAAGATGATTTTATGGGCTGGTATATGCATTGTACTAGAGAAAACAAAACTAAATCCAGAAACAATATTCAAATCTGTTCATTATCTCTGGAGGCATAAGATTCATAGTCACATACTCATCACTTTTATGATTTATAATTATATAAGACACAACACCTTTTAGTGGACTTTCTGCATGTTGAAGGAAGCAAACTAAAAAGAACTGCTTCAAACACTCAACACAAATTTAATTTTACTTATTCTTCCTCTTAAAATTATTTTCACCCCCCAAACCATGAACACAAGCGTTTTAAAGCTATGGCTCCATTTAATTTTTCTAGTAGAGCTAAGAGTGTGATCTGGAAAAGGAACATGCACAGCCAATATAAAAGCATAATCAGAAGAATAAGAAGTATTTCAAGTAAAGATGTAGTAATAAGGGTGGTACAAGGCTGACCTAAATTTTTTTGAATTTAAAAAGAAATTGAACATTTATTTTTCATTTCAATTACAAGTCCTTGTTAGAATTTGAAACAACTTGAAAGATGGGACTGGCCCTGCCAGATGGAATTGTACCTCAAATTAGATAAACTAACAAGAGTAAGAGATAAGGAGAGAGGTCAGTAACTGATATGGAAAAGGACAATTTTACTACCAAATTAGTTTTATCCACCCTCTATTTACCCCATGCACAAAACTGGTTAGGGTCATGGTCCAGCTATGTGTCTTTTGGGTACAGGGAAGTTGTGTTTCACCATTACAACTATTCATACCTCAGAATTATCCCACCCAATTAAAATATTAAGTAGAATGTTTCTCTAATACATGAAAGTGATTTGAAATTGTCACTATTTTCCAAGTGGAGCAAACTCACCCAATAGAGCAGTACGTAACTGATGTGTTTCTTTTAGCATGCCCATTAGCATTATTGGCATTATTTCACAAAATAGCCAGGAGGACTTATTATGGCTAATGCAGCAAAGAATTCTGCAGCATAGCCCAGGGACATTTTGTGAAAGAATTTTGTAGTGATCAACGTCCCCAACTGCAGAGGAAGAAAACTTCAAAATAGCCGGACAATTTTAAACATTAAAATGGTCATGATATTCTCCATTAATTAATTACAAAATAAATATCTCTTTATTCTGTAAGGCATAAGGACAGCTATGGAGCAGAAAAAAGGACAGCTAAAAAGCTCTCTCTCTGAATCGACTTACCAGATCCTTTGTTGTTTTCAAATAATTCCCATGAAAACTGGAGTCAGCCTCCTCAATCTTTATCTAGAATTTCTAAGCAGCTTAATGTATATATATATAAATGACATGCATTCTTTACTGGAGCTTTGGCATCCTCAGGTAGCAAACATTAAAATATCCTCTGTTGAATCAGTAGTAGATTGTGACTTTCCCTGGATGAGTTTAACGGTGCTGGTTCAGGAACAAGTCTCTAGTGCTCTGTGGGTGATGGCTATTTTGATGAATCCTCAGGTCAGTGGTCTATCCTGAACACTACTGACTTCCTTTAACAATACCTCTTTTGTGATTTGCTAACAGTTGGTTTATATAAATCAGTTTTTCATAAAGTCTGTTCAGTTAAGCTGGTAATAGGCATTATGAAAACAAAGGATTCTGGAGTCAGATAAGTTTGGAGTATACTGGCTTAAATAAGGTTAAATAAGTCCCCTTGTTTATGACTTGTTAGAGCTCCTGCAGGTGTTAAATACCTAAATTTTAGAGCTGGACTGCCTGGATTCAAAGCTGAGCTCCACTGCTTACCATTATTTTACCTTGGGCAAGTTCCTTAACCTCTCTGCACCTCAGTTTCCTCATGTGTATAATGGGTACAACAATGGTACCAACTAATTATGTTGTGTGGATTAAATAAATTAATATATGTGAAATCTTTAGAATAGGACCGAACATAGTAAATCTGACAGATGTTTGCTAATATTACTAATATGTTTTGCAAATCTCCAAGACTAAATTGGAATGTTTTCATTAACTTATTCATTCATTTAATTGTTCAACAGATATGGGGAGAAAAATATATCCTTACCTATGCCTAGTACCCCAATAGGCAATCTATGATAAAAAATATAAATCTGGAAATATAAGCATGCTTGTGCCATCTCACGTATAGTTCAAGGAGCGGGGGTGGTGGTGTTTGTTTTCATGACCTGAATCCATATTACAGGCAGTATGTTTTCCAGAACTCCCAGTCTCGAGACTTATACTACAAAGACATGAACAGCATTGAGCTGATTGATTCGAAAATACTCTCTGCTTTGTTGACAATCTGATTTCTTCTTGATGTTTGTTCTATGTTCAAACCGTTTTCTTCCCATTGTTTCAGGCAGGAAAAGTCCAGTTTGGTTACGTGTATGGCACGAGTGCCATTGGCTGCTTAGGGATTCACGCTTTACTAAACTTGATGAGCTCTTCAGGGGTGTCCTGTGGCTGCGTGGCGAGTGTTCTGGGTTACTGCCTGATACCCATGGTCATCCTGTCCAGCTGTGCCATCTTCTTTTCACTGCAGTAAGTGTCTGTGTGTGCTAATTGACCCCACATGCACGATCATCGCTAGGGTTTGCCACACCAGTACAACAGTTAGTCTCTTTCTGATCATTTTAGTAGTGGGATTGGGGAAACTGGCTATTAAAAGCTACATACAGATTCAGGAAAGTAGGTCGGTTTTGGCTCAGGTGCTGTTCCTATTTCGATGATTTAAAAAATAAATTAAACGAAGTTATCTTTAAAATTGGCACTTTGTAAGTTGTCACATTCTTCAGTATGAACTATCGCCATGGGTAATATAACCAACAACAGAAAATTCACTTGTTTGAATTAAGAAGAGTAAGTGCCTGGTGCACACTGACAAATTGCTTCAGCTCCCAAGCACTCTGCCTTCTAGGAGGGAAGCAAGTATTCTTTCTCAGCGGGACTCCTTGCAGTGCAGAATTCCCAGGAACCCTAATGAGGATATTACTGCTAAGAACTTTATAGCATATATGCTCAGTCAATTTTTTTTTCTTTTTTACTTCCTGGACAGGTAGTATTTGCAATTCAAAAATATTAATGAGGATTCAGTAGATATGTTTCTATCGGGCACTTTCCCAGGGCAGCGCATATCACTACCACTTTGGTTGGGAAGAGTAAGTAATTACATAGTCCTTTGTCACCTGCCATGCTCCAAATCCAATTAGAAATAAACATTTGCCATCAGTACTCATTCTTCCACATCCAAAGGAGACAAAATTCACATTTTTTTTCTTGGATAATCCAAGTTTTAGGTTATCAACATTATACTGGATAGGATATTACATACAGAATTTGCCAATGCCATATAAACATTTTAGAAAGAGTTTAATATTTTTGTTTAGATATAATCTCAGATATTTTCTTCATAACGTTGTTGAGAATGACATAGATGGAAATGCTTTTTTTGTTTTAATATGGTTTCATTTTGAAAGTAATAGTCTTGAGAATAACAGAGCAAACTCTTACTTTACCAGCGAGTGCTTAACACTTAAAAGGGAGGAATACAACAGAAAATGGAAACTTTGAATGTATAAGTACAATGTGAGTTAAAGGTGTATTTATTGAGTCTTGTCCATGGAAAAATTCCACTTTTTGTATATCATGTTGCTTAGCAAGCTGTTCTGTTTACTATGTTGTTTGGTACAGATGTTTGACAAGTTACTACAGAGTTCAGTTTTACAACTTCCATTTTGTCAGATGCTTTTGCCAAAGAATACTATAATGATCAACCATTTAAAAATTCTAGGTTTTAGACATTATTTCCATCAAAGTTTAGCTTTGGGGTATCTTAAATGACTCCAGATTATTAGGGAAAGAAAATAAAAACTACAACTCTTGAATTTTGAGAATCATCAGAGGTCTGGACATTTTTCATTAGATTTTCATTCTGAAATGTAAAGGATGAATTAGAAATCCTTTAAATTATATTAATGGGGAAAAAGCTATCTGATCTCTAAGACCATTAAACTGAAATTGCCTTTTTGGGCATATTACTATAACATTCAAATGAATTATATATAATCTCACATTTTTGTTCACCAAAACCTGTAAATTGAATCACTCTAAATTTTATTTCTAATAGATATTAACTAAACCTACAAATGTAATATTTACTAGAGTGTTTTAAAATATTTTGGGTTTGTTTATAATCTAAGGCATTATAAGCTATATTGTACACTTTTTCACTTGTTTTGCTTTGGTTCAATTATTAAAAGTAGGTATTTCTGTCATTCTCACAAATAATAAACACAATTCTCAATTTCAGATTCAACCAGGATCAAGTGAGGCAGTATAGTTTGACAGTGGCTAGAACAATATGCTGGTACTTAGCAGCACTTGACCTAATGACCATTTCACTTTGCAATTTTTTTAAGTCACTTCACTCCCATTTCTTCCTAAAGAACCAATTGTCTCCACAGTTACTTTTTGAAGATACCAGTTTGAACAAATCCATTTTGATATTATAAAAATCCACACCTTTATTTGCCAAAGTTATCTTCAGCAATGAGGTGGGAGGCCACACACATCTGTGCCTTACTGCTGCATCTGTTCCCTCCCTGAGCTGTGTCAGGCTTTGCTGTCCCAGACAAAAACCCAGGACATGGACCTGGGAGCGCTGGGGAGTAGGAACCCCACTGGAATGCGAGTCCAGTCATTTTTCTGCTCATACTGGGGGTAAATTTAGGAAGAAAGTGGGGAAAAGAAATCTGTATCTGTAAAAGAAGTCTCTAAACATAGTTTATGTAAAAGAATTTCGGAAGTTGGGATTTGAATGTTGACTCATGAGAGTGACAGCAGGTCAATTCTTCTGTTTCCAATAATCTGAGTTTTTACCACCCTATAAAATATTTAGCTTCTAATGGTGAACTTCACTCAAAAATTTTCTAAATAACTGAGGCCTTTGAGTTCCTGTGGTTCCTCACCCTCCTTTTACAAATTGAGAAAGTGGTTATAAATATTGTACCAAGGACATTTCAGAGGCAGCTGCGATTCAATAACCTCTTTTTCTCCTGGTGTAAGATAACCATCTCTTTTGTCTTTGCTCTAGGGGAACCTTTGGAACTGTGTTGGCACTGGTCATCATTGGCTGGTGTAGTCTCTCAGCCTCCAAAATTTTCACTTCAGCCTTGGCCATGGAAGGACAGCAGCTTCTCATTGCCTACCCTTGCGCCTTACTTTATGGGCTTTTTGCCCTCCTAACAGTTTTCTGAGATGGCATTATAGGATTCTATTTGTTTGTCGCTCAGATTATCCTGGAAATGTACTGGCATTCACATTTGGTCATATGATTTCTGTTTTATCGCTGTTGAGAGAATAATAAGCAGAGAGACAAAACAGCACTTAAGGATGGGGCTCTAATAGGCTGTTTGGTTTGAATGATGATTTGCTTATTGGTTGGTACATTAAAACAATTTAAAATACTTTAAAATAAAAAGGGATATAGTTGTTGTACCGATGGACCCTGCTTTTCTCAATGGATGTATTTCTGAGAAATTGTAAGTAAATAAAATCATATGCTGACTGGGTAGAGGAAATCTACAGTGAGCCTTTTGAGAAATCTTCATGACAGTTCAAGCTGTGTACAAGTTGTTTAAGTCACACTGTCCAGGACCTTTGGAGAATTTCAGGGGAGGTGTTATTTAGGGTTTTATTCACCTGAGAGTCAAAGAATCTCCTGCCTTTCCATTCATTTACTTTCACAACTATTGTTTGTTCCCATTTGAACAATGCATTCACTCACCACTTTTTCAAGCCCTAACTTCCTTCTTACTTGGTTTAGATGCCATGGTTCATTACTATAATTTCTCCCTTTAATATGTATATCCTCAGTACCCTTGCCATTTTGCTCCCTGAATAGATGAATGTGACTGGAGGAAATGCCACTTGTTTCTATTTGTGACTACATCTTAAATGACTGCTCAGTACAACATTTTGAGTCCTATTACATTACCCTACTATTGATAAATTCACTTTCGCACTTTCTGAGACGATTGTTTCACACCATTTCTTCACTGCTCAAATCTCCAATACTCCTTTCATACTGTTAGTTGATGACCTTTCTTACTTTATTGAAAGAAAGAAGCATCTAGAAAAAAAGTGTGTCTTCCCAACCTACATGCATCTTTATAGATACATGTATATATCTATAAAGACGTGTGTGTATGCATATGTGAGTATATATATATATATATATATATATATACATATACACGCACACACACACACACACACACACACACACACACACACACATTCCCCCTTTAAAAGCCAGAGAAATGGGCCATAACTGAAGAATGATATTGAATCAAAGGATTTTTATTTTAAGGTAAGAAACATTGAAAGATATTTATGTGCTGCTATGAATAATAGGTCAAGAGTAAAACACTGGTTATGCAGGTGAAGGGGCTGGATGTGGAGAAGAAAAGATACAGTGACAAGGGGGAATGTGTGATGGAGTTATTATCAGAGATAACTTTTTATTTGAAAGACCTATCCGTATGGCAAGGAAAATATCTAATTACCAAACATCTGCTCTTGTGATTGTCCTGTGAATTACCTCCTCCCCTTTGAAGCTCCAGACCCCTATCCCATTCCTTAGCTCAAGATGGCATATAGGCCTCAATTGTTCAAATTGTCTTTATGTCTCATATCTTTGGGGCTCCTGTATGTATGAAATTAAATTTGTTCTCTCCTGTTAATCTATCTTATGTCAATTTAATGTTTTGGTCAGCCAAAGAACCTAGAAGGGAAGAAAGAAAATTTTTTCCTCCTGTGCAGTGGGTGTTGATAATTGTAGTAAATAAGACAACCATGGCTGCAGCCCTAATAGAAATTACTTTGGGAGTGGAAAAAAAAATAGACAATAAACAAGTAAACAATAAATAAACAAGATAATTACAGAAGTATGACAAGAATGCTAAGGAGGAATGTGTAGGAAAGAAGGCAGCACTGTGGTAAATGTTAGACTTCTAACATTTATAATTCATTAATTAACCTGTTAACAAAGCATGGAGTTTCCTTAAGTTCTTGCTCTTTCTATTTGGACTAAGATGGTCTTCTTACCCTTTACTTAAGGGAGATGAAGCAAGAATGCTGTTTATTATAGTGATTTCTCTATGGTATACAGTCCTATTTCTTAGAGGTACATTTATATTATGTATTTAAATTTTTACCTTTTAGAAGGTTCTTTAATTAAAATAAATTATAAGCAAATATTGCTCTAAATTCAGGATGTAGGTTGACATTATTTTTCTGTGCATAAAAACAGTTATACCCAAAAAAGTTTTGACTTTTTTACTATGAAAAATTATAACATCTGTATAAAAAGCCCCATAAACAAAATACTAAATATTTCATAAGAGTAAGAAATAGGAATAAATTCATTTAATAGTTCATAATGGCAGAATTATGAAATACCTAAGAATTAATGTAAAAATAAATATAGATGATCTCTATAAAAATAATTATAAAATATTAGAGGTACTTTTAAAGAAGACTAGATATGTAGACAGATATCCTATATCACAGGATGAGAAAATTGGACTTTGTAAAATATTGTGCCCCAAATAAATGTGTAGACTTAATATAATTCCAATTAAAATTCCAGGAGTAGTTTTCTTTAAATACTTTAATACAAAGTGACTTTAATATTAATCTGAAAAAATAGGCAAAGGTGTAACTGTGAAAAATTGAAACAATCCAAAAATATATTACTATAGGCAGTAAGTTAAATCAGTTATTGTTTATCTCTGTGGTTGAATGCTACGTAACTACATGAAAATATTTTGGAAGAATGATAACATGAGAAAATGTATGCATGAAATTTGCATAATTTTGAAATTTACTGAAGACTTACTAGGGGTTGACCTAGATACTTTACTTTATTGACTCACTTAATCCTCACAATACCTCTATGAAGTGCTCTTATCATCACCTCTGTTTTACAAATGAGGGTACTAGTTACAGATCAGCTAAATCACTTGCCCAAGGTTACTCAGCCAAAAACCAGAATTTGAATCAGGAGAGCTGGATTCCAGTGTCCATAACCACAACATAACCCTCCTGTTACTGAGCAAAAACCTAATTGCATCTTCTCATGGCCGTCAACATGTCTACTACCTCTTCTACTCAGATCATCCTTTTCCCTTGACCTTAGCCAATACTGGACAGAGGCAAAGAGTTTTACCTGCCAGGGGAAAATAATACAATAATAAGATAAAAGACGAATCCAGAGTATCTAACAGGACTAAAAAGATACCTGCATGAATCCTGGGTCCATTTCTGAACTCTAGTTGAAATAAGCTATGCCGATTCAGATCTAGTTGGCACTTGAATAGAAAAACCTTGCAAAATATAGGCCTTTCCCTCATTTCAAGTAGTGTTTGCATTATATGCATTTGTATGGAATGGAGGTATTTTCCTTTGTTAATGGTGATATCTGTTTATGGTCAGTAGGATGCATTACAGAAAAAATGACAAAGTGAAAGGTAGCACATTTAGGGTACAAAACTAGAAATGTATTTTTTTTGGTTGACTAGACACTAGCAAACTTTCTCCCTTTCCCTTTTACTCAAACACTTTTAACTTCTTTTATCTTAGAAGGCAACATTTTTTTCACTTTTCTGTTTTTACTGGTTGGACAAAAGTTACAGATTATATGTGAAAGGTAAATGGCACATTTGGAGTCAAGAGATGGCCTTCATTTCTACAAGAATGAATGGGGACATGTGCTGAAAATAAAAAAAGTCCTGAATTACTGAGACTCAAGTGCTCCAGTTCACAACAGTTTAACTAGGGCAGTGGCCTTTGCGATGTCTGGTGACAGATGCCTTTCTACTCTGATCTGGTTCACAGTAAAGAAAGCCAACTATAAAACCATATGGACAATCTCCTGCTCCACTTTTTCTTAGAGTACAGTGGGGTCTGTTCTGTTTTTCAGTGACATAATGAAGGATCTATAGCTTTTCAAATCAGTTTTTATTTCTGAGTAGAAGTCTGGAATGATTTTAAATGAATGATCTGGGACCCAAATTTCTATGTATGGAGGGAGGGGTAGTTTCCCAGCCCAACAAGTAATTCTTGAACATCTGCAGGAAGTTTGAGAATTCAACTAAATTCTGACACCATCTACCCAGAGATAGCATCAGATTCCACAGGCTAAAGGTTCAGTCTTATAAGACTGCCCCTTCCCCTACTTCAGATGCCAGCCCCAAGCCCAGGTTCTTACCTGTACTTCTAACCAAGTGGCTATAAATCAGAGGCTCCATGACCCCCTCCTGGGGTTTAATTAATTTACCAGAGCGGCTCACAGAACTCAGAGAAACATTTTACTTACTGGTGTATTGTGAAAGAATATGATAAAGGATGCAGATAAATATCCACATGGATGAGATGTGTAGGGCAAGGTATGGTGAAAAGGAGCTTCCATGCTCTCTCCAAGTGTGCCACTCTCTGCAAATCTCCATGTGTTTACCACAGAAGCTCTCTGAATCCCATCCTTTTAGGTATTTATAGAGTCTTTATTACATAGGCATGGTTGGTTAAATCATTGACCATTGTAGATTGATTCAACTTCCAGCCTCTTTAGCCTCTCCAGAAGTGGGAGGGTAGAACTGAAAGCTACATCCTTCTAATTACACGGTTGGTTCTCCTGGCAACCAGCTTAGGTGAGGTCCAAAAGTCACCTAATTAGCATAACAAATTACACTTATCACTTTCAAAGTTTTTTTTTTTTTTATTGCACTCATAAATTCCAAAGGTTTCAGGAGCTCTATGTTAAAAATGGAGATGAAGATCAAATCTATCTATCTATATCTATCTATCTATCTATCTATCTTCTATCTTATAAATCACAATATAGATTTTTTTGAAGTTTAAAAAGCCAACCAGACTAGACATGTATAGTCAGGACACTCAACATGGCTGTTCTCTTGCTTTCTGTACATCCCCTGCTCGACCAGTGCCTGCTTCACTTACGCCCCAATCACATGACTGACCTTCCTACATACTTGCCCCAGGGTCCAGCTAGTAATGCTCCTATTAAAGGGGCTGTGAGGGGTGTGCTCGTCTGTTAGTTTCCCTGGTAACCAATGAGCCAACCTGATGTCAATTCCCACTGTAACTGGCAATCTCCCCTTCCCCCAGAAGCAACAACTGCCACCATGTCCTGCCTGCCGTCCACCTCACATGGTGGGGTGTTGCTCCACGACCT